ACGGCGAGTTCCACTTGCCGGTGCACTGCATCGGCTCGGGACGTTTGGAAGGCTCCAAGGAGGCAGGAGGTCAAACACGAGCACTGATTCGGGAAAGAAAAGTTTCAAGATAGCGATTCAAAGAGTTATTTGATAAGGTTATATTAGTACATAGATTGTTTTTGCGCGTTTCTTGTACAAAATTTACGGCCTCTTGCGTTCCTGGAGCCTTCCTAAACCCGTGCCACGAGCCGAGCCGACGCAGTGCACCGCGAATTGCAACCAGGGCTCAGGCTATCAGGGTAAATGCTCGTTCTTGACTGAAAATCCAAGGTATTTTCCAGCCCAACTCGGCTTTTTACAGGGGAGTTTTTCTGCCAGCCTTGATTGAATCCGAGCACTTCTAGGACTGACTCTGATGAATCCGAGTACTCCTTCGAAGGACTCGGAACCTTTTCTAAGGCTCTAGCCACCCCTAACCTCGCCCCCTCCCCGCTTCCTGGACTTGTGAATGCTTCCCTCCCGCCTCTCTGTTCCTTAGTCAAATTCTGAGGCATTTGTACACTTCTGCTCTCTGTGAGCAGAGGTCCACACGAAAGCAGCACAAGTGCACCAACACAGAGTTTCAACATCACATTTAGTCAGAAAGAAGTCTCCACCATTGCGGCGGAACTATCGAATTACGTAAACGAGGAAATTTTAGGCCAACGCTGATTTTTCCGAGCGGTTTTTCGGCTGGCCCTGTGTTTTCAGAGCATTTTTCGAAGGGAGCCCAAAACGTCCGAGTTGGCGAAAAGCCTAACTTTAGCCCTGGTTTGGATCAGGGCTTATGTTAGGATTTTTTACAGGTCGGACGAAATGCCAACCCCTTCAAAGTTGCTCTTAAAACCCAGGGTGTACCCAACATCTTCCCTTAATATTCAGGGCTATCTAAAAAAAATCTCGGCTCAATCAGAGTCACATAATATTATCCGCCATAGCTTAGGAGAAGTAAAAAGGTAGACTCAGTCGTGGATGAAAGCAAACCCTAACCTACGCTAGTGTACCTTCAACATTTGGAAGTAAAGGTAATGTAAATCGTGCATTTTCAGTAACTATTCATTAGGCTACGATTCAGGGACGCCATGGCATGGTGGAATGGCGTGGGTGGAGTGAGAGAAACATGAGACAGTAAGGGATGCTGCTGGGTTGTTTGAGTTGAGGCCAAGTTCGTACTTCGAGTTTGTCTAATCTGACCTTTCTCTCTCTAAATTGGAGGGGACAATGAAGTGGTGAGGAGGGGCGAAGATTGGTTTGGGGGGAGAGTTGGGTTTCAAAGACAAGACAAACTGAAGCTAAGGGGATGTAGAGAGAGATCGATATGTTAGGGCGCATCACCTCGGGGCTGGAAGGCCCAAATCCGAACATACGTAACGAATTCACTGTACGAACAGTTTCCCGACGAGATCCGAACACAAATTTGAACACCTTGGTGAATGTGACAGCTCGTGACTAGAGGTGACAGCCTGTTCGAACATGCGACGTCCCAAGTGCTGGACGACTTCGCGAAACGTCGCAAAAAAATAATTCTGTCGTCTGCCATTCAAGTTTGACTCATTTTTCGCCCATCCAGTCAAACAGTCTCTTCGTGCTCTTCTACTACTGCTCACCTTGTTGTTCCCCAACAACAATGTCCTTTTTGATGAACTTTCTCCTGCATGGCGACATTTGCAATGGTCGCAAACATTCGAGTGCGACCCGAAGCCTGCTAACCAATAAAATCAGTCGTCCATGCGGAATTCCTGTCACCAAACCCAACTTTGTTCGAACAACTCTGTTCGAACGTGCGGAATGGAGAGCTTCGTGCCCCGTGTGACAACTCTGTTCAAATTCGCGAAATTTCCGACTAGCGACGTCACGAACACCCATACGAGGAGTGGCGAAAAATGTAACATTTCGCCTGTTCGAACAACCGTCCTGTTCGAACTGAGAGGTGAAGCGCCCTTAGGGAGGGGTGGCCTGGGGGGAGGGAGGAGGTGGGCTGTGGGCTGGGCTGTTGCTGAAACGCACGCGCGGGTCTGGTTGGCGGGAAAGTGGGGGAGTGAAACGGAGAAGGGATTTTCGTGGGGGGGGGGGGGGGGGGGGGGGGGGGTGCTACATGGAAAAATTTCCGGGTCGCTCCCAAATCTACTCGGAGCCTCCGGGAACAGCCAAGCAACACTCGTACCCCGCAGGCCCAGGCTCGGAATCAATCGGATTTCGTCAGGGTCGCTCTGCAAATTGCCCTGCAAAAATCCGAGCCATGTAAAACAATACCTTGTAATTTCAGTCAAGAACGAGCATTTGCCCTGATAGCCTAAGCCCTGGTTTGGATGCGCTGCACAGCCCCTTTGCCAGCCGCACCAAGCCGAACCTTACCTTAGGCATGTCGCGCATGCCCAGGCCTGGTTGGGTTTGGATGCGACCAAGTTTCCTTGCCTACCTTGCCTTGCCCAGCACCCGGGAAGACACCACACCACACACCACACCATCGACATAAGTACCGTATTGCATCCCGAGTTCTTGCCACTTTCTCACTGCTGGATGACTGGGTTGGATAGGCCAGCAAGTGAGCCCAGCCGACCATGGCAGTGCTTGTGCAACCCGAACTGCTCGTCACATTCTAGCCGGCTTGATTGCTTATCTGGTGAAGTAACTCGTGTTACACCGTAGTTTGCAGCCTGATAACCAGCCTCTACAAGGACCAACCTGAACAACACGCACTGTGCGTGCAGTTTCGTCTTAGCTCTCCGCAAACGTCGGTTTGTTATTTGTTAACCTTAAGATTCGCAACTCGGGTGAATCGGATGGCGGCTTCCAAGGGGAGCGCCTTGGCGTTAGCGGCTCTGGTGCAGCTGGTGCTACTGGCGGGTAACGCCGTACCGTGCGCGGGTCAGGACACGAGCCTGCAGCAGTGCTTGCCGCTCGATTACACGGAGGGTAAGCTCGCTACTATCACGATGCGGCTTTCCTACGCAATGTAGGCTTCGTTCGCGCAGTGTCGGCTTCTTTTCTCAGTATGTAACGCTATATCAGTTTCTATTCTCAGCATTATATCGCTTCGATTCTTCAGTATTTCACGCAATGTTGCTTCGTTTCTCAGTATTTCTCGCAATGGTCCAGCGCACTCTCAGCTCAATTCTGCCAACCAGCATAGGTATACTCTCATGCACTCTGGGCCTAACGGTAACGTTCCTCATCTGATGCTTGGCAGCGCAAACTCTATTGTATGTGGCAATGCGTCTGGATTACCTTCCGTACGACCTGACTGGCGTCACCACCTGCGTCAATCTCGGCCTCACTTGCAGCGACAGTGGCTACGTCACTCAAATGTCAGTGCTGCTGTTGCTGCTGCTAATCATGCCGTCGCTGGTGCTGATGCCCAGGTTAGGGTAGCAGGAGGAGTACGTACGAGATATGCTTGCGAGTGTCACTTTCTTGCCTTGACTCGTGGCTGTTGCGCGCGCAGCAATTGGGGCAACAAGGCAATACAAGGGGAGCTGCCTTCAGAGATTTTCCAGCTGATGCATCTTGAATACCTGTGAGCGTCCGCGCTTGACTTGAAGCACCTTGAATACCTGTGAGGCTCCGCGCTTGAAGCTCCTTGAATGCCTGTGAGGCTCCGCGCTTGAAGCACCTTGAATGCCTGTGAGCGTCTGCGCTTTGAGCAACAGAAAGCCACATCTGTTGGGACAGGCCTGCTGCGTTGGATCATGCGCCATTATTCAACGCATCCCAACTAAGAACCTGATACCATGCAATACGTGCGTCTCCTACCATGACATGCCATGCCATGCATGATGCATGCGACCAACGCGGATGTGAGCCATTCGCAGGTCTCTGCGAGACAACTACCTGCGTGGCTCCATCCCCTCTGATATCGGCAACCTCGTCAATCTCACATATCTGTCAGTTCGCTTCGCCCCTCTCTGTTAACGTTGTTCCCTGTGCTACTTGAGTTCGCCCCCTGTTGATTAGCTTCGTTCATCTGTCAGTTAACTCCGTCCCTCTGTCAGTCAACGTTGCCTCTATGGCATGTGCGTGTGTGCCTGTGCATGTGTGAGTGTATGTGCGAGAGTGTGTGCGTACATTTTGTGAGTGTGTATGCATGTTTGCACGCACGTGTGCGAGTGTATGGATAAATGTGTGTGTGTGTGTGTGTGTGTGTGTGTGTGTGTGTGTGTGTGTGTGTGTGTGTGGATGCACGTGTGTGCGCACGAGTGTGTGGCATGCATGCATGACAGGGACCTCTCCAACAACTCCTTATCAGGCCCTTTCCCCACCTTCTTCAGCAGACTCACCAAGCTCTCCGTCCTGTCAGTAACGCTTTCCACCTGTCAGTCAACAATTCCTATCTGTCATTCAACATTTTCTACCTGTCAGTCAACTTCTCTCTGTCAGTTAACAAGTCTTCCCTGTCAGGCACATTCGTACCTGTCAGGCACAATTTTGTCCCTGGCAGCCAGGCAATTTGTTAGGCCATCCACTTCCACCAGCTGGCGGTTGCCAATAGGCTCTACCCGCTCCTATGTTCTGCCATCCCATGCCGTGCCATGCCATGCCATCCCTTGCCGTGCCATGCCATGCCATCCCTTGCCATGCCATGCCATGCCATCCCATGCCGCGCCATGCCATGCCATCCCATGCCGTGCCATGCCATGCCATGCCATCCCATTCCATGCCATGCCATGCCATGCCATGCCATGCCATGTCATGCCATGCCGTGCTATCCCATCCCATGGCGTGCCGTGCAATGACATGCCAACCCATGCCATGCCATGCCATGCCGTGCCGTGCCATGTCATGCCGTGCCATGCCATGCCATGCCATGCCATGCCATGCCATGCCATGCCATGCCATCATTGCCATGCCATGTCATGCTGTGCCATGCCAAGCCGTGCCATGCCAAGCCGCCCCTACCTTTATCAGGTACATGGACAGGAACAACTTCGCAGAAAGCCTTCCTGATTCCATCGGCAGCATGGTCTCTCTCAGCGAGCTGTATGTGCGCCGTCCGGCATGTATATGTGCCGTCCGGCCGGCATGTACGTGCGCTGTCCGGCATGTGTGCGCCGCCCCTCATGTATGTTTGCTGCCGCCTGGCATGTATGTGTGCTGCTGCCTGGCATGTGTGTGTGCTGCCCGGCATGTATGTGCGCTACCAAGCATCCACGTTTACACCTCGCCCTCCCTCCCTGGGCCTCCCTTCCGTTTTCTCCAAGCACCCATGTCATCCCTCTGGTTTCTGCCCTCGCCCCATCTGCACCCCCTCCGCATCATCCTCTCCCTCCTCTCCCTCCTCTCCCTCCTCTCCCTCCTCTCCCTCCACTCCCTCCTCTCCCTCCTCTCCCTCCGCTCCCTCCGCTCCCTCCTCTCTCTGCTATTCCCCCCCCCCTCCTCTGCAGGGTCTTGATGGAGAATGCCTTGACAGGGTCACTGCCCAGCAGCATGGGGCGCCTCACCAACCTCAACAACTTGTGAGCCACCCGTCACAAATTAGCATATCTGAGCGACCATGTGAGCATGTGAGGGAGCATGTTAGCATGTGAGCGACCATGTGAGCATGTGAGGGAGCATGTTAGCATGTGAGCGACCATGTGAGCATGTGAGGGAGCATGTTAGCATGTGAGTAGGGATGAGCAAGTGGCGAACACGAACGTGTTCGTGTTCGCCCCTACACGAACACCTCCGTTTGCCGAACCGAACAGTGTTCGGTTCGGCGAACACTTTGAGCAAAAAATGGTGTTCGCCGTTCGCCTGTGAAGGCGTGTTCGGGCGAACCTCGAACACTGTTCGTGTTCGTCGCGGGCAAATTGCAGCAGCGGCCCGAACACGAACGTGTTCGGGCGAACATCGAACACTGTTCGGCGAACATTTTAAGCCAAAAAAAATTACCTGTTCGGTTCGCCTCGAACACGTTCGAGGCGAACCGAACAGGTGTTCGTGTTTTTGCTCAACCCTACATGTGAGCGACCATGTGAGCATGTGAGGGACCATGTTAGCATGTGAGCGACCATGTGAGCATGTGAGCGACCATGTTAGCATGTGAGTGACCATGTGAGCATGTGAGTGACCATGTTAGCATGTGAGTGACCATGTGAGCATGTGAGTGACCACGTTAGCATGTGAGTGACCATGTTAGCATGTGAGTGACCATGTTAGCATGTGAGTGACCATGTGAGCATGTGAGTGACCATGTGAGCATGTGAGTGACCATGTTAGCATGTGAGTGACCATGTGAGCATGTGAGTGACCATGTTAGCATGTGAGTGACCATGTTAGCATGTGAGTGACCATGTTAGGATGTGAGTGACCATGTGAGCATGTGAGTGACCAAGTTAGCATGTGAGTGACCATGTTAGGATGTGAGTGACCATGTTAGCATGTGACTGACCATGTTAGGATGTGAGTGAACATGCTTGCATGTGAGTGACCATGTGACCATGTGAGTGACCATGGGCGGCGCCGGTACAGCGCTTATCAGCTCTGCAGCCTGTGAAGGCCTTTTAACGCTGTGATCTGCATGAGTTTTCTCAGCTTTCATCTGTCAACCGCCTCCCCTCAATCATTGTATCGTATCCCAGTCACTATCATCTCACCCCCGTGTGCGTGCGAAAGCCAAATGACTTGTGTGCATGCCAAATGACTTGTGTGCATGCCAAATGACTTGTGTGCATGCCAAATGACTTGTGTGCATGCAGAGCCTTGTCATACAACCACCTGTCAGGGACCATCCCCAAGTCTTTGTCCAGAATGGCCAGCCTTAGCTCCCTGTGAGTGTCACCTCCATGCCACGCCATGCCATGCCATGCCATGCCATGCCATACCTTGACATCCTATGCCATGTCATACCATGCCATCTCATGCCATGTCATGCTATGCCATGCCATCCCATGCCATGCTACCCATGCCATGCCATGCTATGCCATGCCGTGTCTCAGCTCCATGTGAGTCACAGTTTTATCTAAGTCTCAGCTCCATGCCGCGCCATGCCATGCCATTCCATGAGCACCGCCGTTAACTGCCACCATCCTGCCAATCAACTTCCATCATACCACCCGCCACATCTGCCACGGACCAATGTCACAGCAAACCCCTTTTCCACCGTGACCTTCACCTCCTTGCTACTCCCCACACCCCCATCTCCCCCTCCATCCCACAACCCCCTGCCCCCTGCCCCGCAACCCCATGTTTCACAACCCCATGCACCATCCATGTTCTCCCCCCCCCTCTTCCACATGGCAGTCTGCTGGACAACAACTTGTTTTCGGGGTCGCTGGGGCCCCTTGCTGCTCTCTCTTCCCTCACCACCATGTGAGCACTTATCCCACCCCCCACGCCTTGTGAGCACATCTCTCGGCCTCTGTGCCCTGTCAGTACAACAGACTCTTTTTCTGTCTTCACCAAAACGCCTTTCCCACTCTCTATCTCTCCTTCTCTGTCTCCCCATTGCCACTGGAATCTTCCTATGCTGCAACCGCCTCACTGTCTTCCATACCATTCATCCACATTCGGATTTTGAGGCGCCTCAGAAGTTGTCCCCTTGCCCATTGCCCCGTGCAGCTACCTTTGCTGCAACCGCTTCAATGGGTCCATACCGTCCACCTTTGCCAGCAACGTCTTTTCCTCCTTGTATGCCTCTTACTACAATACCATGTGCCATGCGCATCTGTCATGCGTCGACGTCATGTGTCATGCGTCGACATCATGTCCCATGCTCCATGCACCATGCGACACGTGCCATACGACATGCACCGTGCTCCATGCGCAATTCACCATAGCATGCCCTGCCTCCTCTCTCCAGCAAGCATCCATTCATCTTGCTCCTCACATCCATTTCGGCCAATAGCTCTCACTCCTACTTAATACACCAACTTCTCCTTCTCCTTCTCCTTCTCCTTCTCCTTCTCCTTCTCCTTCTCATTCTCCTTCTCCTTCTCCTTCTCCTTCTCCTTCTCCTTCTCCTTCGGCTCCATCCTCGCCTCAGCATCTTCTCCCTTCCATCCACCTCTGCCGCCCCTCTCGTCCTCATCTCGTCCTACCAGTGACATGTCACTGAACGGCCTCGCAGGTTTTGACTCGACTGTCAAAACTCATCTTCTCCTTCCTCCCGCACACACCCCTCCCCCCAATCACGGTGTTCCAGTGACGTGTCAGTGAACGACCTCACAGGGCCTCTGCCCTCTGGTCTCAAGTTCAAAGAAGATTATGGCAGCCCAATATTGTGAGTGCCCTCTGCTTCTGACCCCTCTGCTTCTGACCCCTCTGCTTTGAAGCCCTTCGCTTGTGAGGCACACTCTTTTCCTTCCATCTAACTGCTTTCCTTTCCAACCTAATCTCTATCCTCCTTTCCCTGCCTACCAATTCCCGTCAATGTGGGCTGCTGTGCACTCTGTGCCTCCCTGTGCTCCCCCTGTGTTTTCCTGTGCTCCCCTGTGTGCCCCTGTGCACCCCTGTGTACCCCTGTGCACACCTTTGTTCCCGTGTGCACCCCTGTGCACCCTGTCTGGCAGCAACGCGTCCTTCAACCACCTCTCGGGGGAAATCCCCTTTGAATTCATCGTCAACTTCTACATCCTGTGAGTAGCCCCTCCTCCTTCATCCTGTGCGTCGCCCATCCCCCTCCTTCTTCATCCTGTGCGTCGCCCATCCCTCTTGTTTCATGTGGTTCTTAAGAATTCTCAGAAACCACATGCAACAAGTCGCCCTTCCCTCTTGTGATAAGTCGATTTTTTAGTCGACTAAAAATCCACAAGCGTCAAGTCGCCCTTCCCTCTTCTCGTCCTTCGTCTTCGAATAAATTTGAAAGAGCACAGCAAAGCCAGGTCCCCCACCCCCTCACCTTGTTTTCGCACCCCCCACCTCCCCCATCTCGCACTCCCCTTTGTTTCCCTCTCCCAAACCATTTTTCTGCTCTATCTGAAGCGCCTAAAATGTGGCCCCTCCTCTGCCTTGGTTTCCCTTCCCAGCGACATCTCCCACAACAACTTATCGGGCCGAGCGTTCTTTTCGAGGCCAAATGAGGGCCCTAATACTGCTTACACCATGTATGTGAGATAGTTCAGGCAGCTTGGTTGGTGAGCGTGTGTACAGCACACTGGTCATGAATGCGTGTGCAGCACACTGATCATGAATGCGTGTGCAGCACACTGATCATGAATGCGTGTGCAGCACACTGATCATGAATGCGTGTGCAGCACACTGATCATGAATGCGTGTGCAGCACACTGATCATGAATGCGTGTGCAGCACACTGATCTAGGGATGAGCAAGGTGGCGAACATCTGTTCGGTTCGCCTCGAACGTGTTCGAGGCGAACCGAACAGGTTTTGTTTTTTAGCTCAAATCGTTCGCCGAACAGTGTTCGATGTTCGCCCGAACACGTTCGTGTTCGGGCCGCTGCTGAAATTTGCCCGCGACGAACACGAACAGTGTTCGAGGTTCGCCCGAACACGCCTCCACAGGCGAACAGCGAACACCTGTTTTTTCCTAAACTGTTCGCCGAACCGAACACTGTTCGGTTCGGCAAAAGAGGGTGTTCGACAAGGGGCGAAGACGAACATGTTCGTGTTCGCCCTTTGCTCATCCCTACACTGATCATGAATGCGTGTGTAGCACACTGATCATGAATGCATGTGCAGCCACCCACAGCAACACACAATCATGAGCCACTGACTGTAACAACCAAGTCTGCACAATCACTCCTTCCACCATCGCACCAACCACCATTCCTTCCCATCCGCTCGACACCCCTCATTCCCTCACACCACTGCAACCAGTATGTCGAACACTCACCCATGCATTTCCATCCATCCACCACTCTCCTCCATTGCCCACCCTGTCTCCCTAACCACCCGCGCCCATCATCATCATCCCGCCTTCCCTCTTCCCCTTTCATCCCCTCTGCACTGCTCCCCTCCTCCATCCTCCAGCAATTTCTCGCACAACAAATTCTCAGGAACGCTCGACCCCTCCCTCTCCACCCTCACCTACCTCCGCCAGCTGTGCGCTGCCCTGCCTGCCCGTCCCACTTGTCTGAGCGCTTCTTGAGTATTTCCGAACATGGCGTGTGTGCAAAGTAGTGCTCAACCCCTCCCTCTCCACCCTCACCCACCTCCACGAGCCGTGCGTTGCCCTCACCTTACCACATCTCTATGCGCTATGCATATCCCTCCCTGTTGTGCCTCACTCTCGTGCCTCACACCCATGCTTCTCCTATCACCGCCCGTACTCTCCTTGTCTCCTCCCCACCATGTCCCTGTGCACTGCACCCCCCCTCCCCTCACACACAGGGACATGTCAGGCAACCTCCTCACGGGGTCCGTTCCAGCCTTCATTTCGCAACTCAACTCACTCACTCTGCTGTATGCGCTTGCTTTGCTTTGCTTTGTGCGCATGATTTTCCATGTGCCCTCGCTCTGCTGTCCACTATTCAGTTTCACACTCCTTGCCGCTCCCCTTTTCCACAATTGCCTCTCTCCTCGCGTGCACGCCTCTCCCTGCCCTCACTCCACTCCTCACCTCCGCACCTCTCCCTGCCCACATTCCACTCCGCACCACCGCATTCCACCCCTCTCCCTTTCCCTGTGGCCGCCCTCCCCACGTGCAGCGACCTCTCTTCGAACAAGTTCACTGGCACCGTGCCACCCGCTATCAGCAACCCCTATAGCCTCGCTAGCATGTGAGATGCCATGTCAGCAATTGTGAGGTGCCATGTCAGCATGTGAGATGACGACATGTGTGCGAGCATGTTGGTGGTATGTGTGCGTGTGACAGTGCACCTCAGGTAACATGGTACGTCGCTGTCACACCTTGATATTGACAACTCCTGCTCCTACCCACCCCCACCCACCCATGTCTACCCCTCTCCACCGCATCCCCCTTTTGACCAGCAACCTGCCGCACAGCCTGCTGCAGGGCTCCATTCCCCAAGTTCTCTTGATATGGGCAATTCCTGCTCTTACTCACCCCCACTCATCTCTGCCTACCCGTTTCCATCCTTTCCCACCGTTTATCAACCCTGCCGACCAGCAACCTGGCACACAACCTGCTGCAGGGCTCCATTCCCCGGGCTCTCTCGCGCCTCTCCTACCTCACCCGCCTGTGCGTGCACCCTCCTCTCCCTTGCTCGCCACCCCTGCTTCGCGTCATGCCATGTGATGCCATGCAATTTTACTCGATTCATTGCACTGGCGTGCCCACTTGCATGCCACCCGTATGCCATGCCTTGTGCGAACTACCACCACCTAATAAACTATACCCCGTACCCCGCACCCTACGCTTCATTCTCTGTACCCCATACCATACTCATCCATGCCCCCTCCCAGCAACGTGTCGTCCAATCAGCTGTCAGGAGACATCACACCGGCCCTCTCTCCTCTGACCTCCCTCGAGATTGTGTGAGGCCCTCGTGTGGGCAGGGGTGTGGGCCTTGTGGCTTGGGGCATGGGACATGATGCATGGAGCGTGGGCCATTGGCCATGGAGCATGAGGCATGGGGCATGAGGCATGGGGCATGAGGCATGGGGCATGAGGCATGGGGCATGAGGCATGGGGCATGAGGCATGGGGCATGAGGCATGGGGCATGAGACATGGGGCATGAGGCATAGGGCATGAGGCATGGGGCATGAGGCATGGGGCATGAGGCATGGGGCATGAGGCATGGGGCATGAGGCATGGGGCATGAGGCATGGCACATTGGCCATGACGCATGGGCACGATGCAGTGGGGGGCACATGGTACCAGCTTACCACGCCGTTAATGTTCGCATGCTGTATATGGGTGTAGGGTTGAGCAAAAAACCGAACAGGTATTTTTTTTTGGCTTAAAAAGTTCGCCGAACAGTGTTCGATGTTCGCCCGGACACGTTCTTATTCGGGCCGCTGCTGCAATTTGCCCGCGACGAACACGAACAGTGTTCGAGGTTCGCCCGAACACGCCTTCACAGGCGAACGGCGAACACCATTTTTTGCTCAAAGTGTTCGCCGAACCGAACAGTGTTCGGTTCGGCAAACGAAGGTGTTCGTGTAGGGGCGAACACGAACACGTTCGTGTTCGCCACTTGCTCATCCCTATATGGGTGTTTCCCGTCCCTGCCCTCCGCGTTCTCGTATCCCCTCGCCTCCCATCGCTTCGTCTCCCCTCGCCTCCCATCGCTTCGTCTCCCCTAAATCCCTGTCATCGTTCACCTCCCATGCCCTGCCATTCCTCCACGCCCTGCCATTCCTCCACGCTTGCCTCACAGTGACATCTCAGGCAACGCATTGAACAGCTCTGTTCTGCCCTTCTTTGGTCGCATGCCCAACCTGTCCCACTTGTAAGGCATGACCCACCTGTATGGCATGACCCACCTGTATGGCATGACCCACCTGTATGGCATGACCCACCTGTATGGCATGACCCACCTGTATGGCATGACCCACCTGTATGGCATGACCCACCTGTATGGCATGACCCACCTGTATGGCATGACCCACCTGTATGGCATGACCCACCTGTATGGCATGACCCACCTGTATGGCATGACCCACCTGGATGGCATGACTCACCTGTATGAGCCATGTCTTGACATGTCAGCAGCATGTTATATTATGAGATCTAATTTCAGCAGCACGCCATGTCAGGACATCGGATGTCAGCATGAGCCACCCACCCAAAACCCGCGGCAGAGACACATGGACATCCATTCCACTGCCCTCGCCCATGCCATTATTGTGTATGTGTATCACGTGACCACAACAAGGCCATCGCACTCCCACCCCTTACCCTTTCCCATACCTCTCCATACCTCGCTATGGCAGGGACATGGCCATCAACCTGTTCTCCGCCTCACTGCCTCCCTCCATCTTCAACCTGCGAAACCTCTCCCACCTGTCAGTCAACTTCCCTATCTATACTACCACCCATCAGTTATTTCTGGCATCAGAACAGCAGCTTCTAGCAACCAGTCATACATCTTGGCTTCATTCATCCCACCCACCATCAGTCCTTATGTAGTCTCACCTCCGCCCCTCTGCCCACTCTCCCCCTGCCCCCTGCCACACAACTCACCATCCCAGCAATGTGTCTCGCAACCGCTTCTCAGGCCCTCTGCCCAACGCTGCTGCCAGTCCAGCTCGCATCATGTGTGTATGCCCAAGTAACGATGAGGGCCTTGGTAACCACAAGAGCCCTGGTAACCACAAAAACCCTGGTAACCACGAGATCCCTGGTAAATATTCCATTCGAATTTTGCGAGTATAAACTCCCATCCCCTTCCCTCACCCTCCCCTTTCCCTCCTGCACGCTCCCCTTTCCGTGCGTGTTCTCTCACGCATCGCTTTTTCTTCTCCCCGTTCCGCCCACCCACGTGTGTCTCTTTCCCTCGACTCGCTCAACACGCATTCAGCACGTTCCCATTTTCCTCCGCAGCGATCTCTCATTCAACACGCTCTCAGGGTCGCTGGAGAGCCCCCATATCAATCTCAAGCGTCTGGCCCTGCTGTGAGTGCCTGCCTGGGAGTGCCACCACACCTCATGCCGTTAATCTTACTCTCGTCAGCCCAGCTTCCCTGCTCGTGTCTTTGAGTCGTGCTTTTCTTGTCTTGTTCGGCTTGCGTCCCCTGCCCAGCCATCGCGCATGCCTCTTCTTGCTTTTTGCCCACCTGCCCCCCACTCCTCCCCCCTACTTCTCGTGCATCTCCCATGCGCCCTCTTGCTTTATTGCCCGCCCAGCCCCCATTCCCCTCCTGCTTCCTGTCCGCCCATCCCTGCTTCCCGTTCCCCCCCCCCCCTCCTTCTTCCTCCCCCCCCCCCCCCCCCCTCCCCTCCCCCCCTCCTGCTTCCCACCCCCCATGCGTGCAGGGCGGTGCACCACAACCAGCTGTCAGGCCCCATCCCCGAGTACCTCTGCCAATCCGTGCTGCAGATCATGTAACATCCACATGCTGTAACGACCACATGCTGTAACACCCACATGCTGTAACATCCACATGCTGTAACATCCACATGCTGTAACGCCCACATGCTGTAACATCCACATGCTGTAACGCCCACATGCTGTAACGCCCACATTCTGTAACATCCACATGCTGTAACATCCACATGCTGTACCATTCACATGCTGTACCATTCACATGCTGTACCATTCACATGCTGTACCATCCACATGCTGTACCATCCACATGCTGTAACATCCACATGCTGTAACGCCCACATGCTGTAACATCCACATGCTGTAACGCCCACATGCTGTAACGCCCACATTCTGTAACATCCACATGCTGTAACGTCCACATGCTGTAACATCCACATGCTGTAACATCCACATGCTGTACCATTCACATGCTGTACCATTCACGCTACGCAACAACACGCTCAGGTAATTTTGCAGCCCACATGCTGTAACGTCCACATGCTGTAACGTCCACATGCTGTAACGTTCACATGCTGTAACGTCCACATGCTGTAACGTCCACATGCTGTAACGTCCACATGCTGTAACGTCCACATGCTGTAACGTCCACATGCTGTAACGTCCACATGCTGTAACGTTCACTCGGTCGGTGCACCATCCACAGTATGCAACGCGCTCACGATGCAATGTTTGGATAGTGTGATGCGCAGATGACTTAGCATTCACACAGTGTAGCATTCAGATTATGTTCCCCTCAGGCCCAGTGGCAAGCAGGCAGGTATGAATGTGGGCATCCATGTAAAGGGCATCCACCTGCCCCCCCCTTCCACCTGCCCCCCCCCTTCCACCTGCCCCCCCCTTCCACCTGCCCCCCTCTTCCACCTGCCCCCCCCTTCCACCTACCTGCCCCCCCCTTCCACCTACCTGCCCCCCCCTTCCACCTACCTGCCCCCCCTTTCCACATGCGTGCAGGCTCCTAGGCAGCAACGCCTTTTCGGGGGCCCTCCCTCAGTGCCTGCCCTTCGTCTCCTCCGTCCAACTCATGTCCGTTCCCCCCTTCACCCTTAGCCCATCACCCTTCGCCCTTCACCCTTAGCCCATCACCCTTCGCCCTTCACCCTTCGCCCTTCACCCTTAGCCCTTCACCTCACCCTTCACCTATAAGAGGTTGTTTGCCTCTTGTCGCACTCTCATTGTAACCTTTGACCTCCAATCGGGCTGCAAATTCCGCTTCCATACCTTCCAGGCCATCTCTGCTCCTCACCTCTCCCCTCCCCTTTGACCCCTGCTTCCCTTCCCCTTGCTCTGCGCTGCGCCTGTCTCCCAGTGACGTCAGCAATAATCTCCTCTTCATGGACGCCGCATCCTTCCAAAACATGCCGCCCATCAGCCTGGACCTCAGCGGAAACTACCTCTACGGCTCCTTCTCCCCCTCCCCAAACATCACCCTCTCCTCCTCCTCCCCAACCCCACCCTTCCCCTCTCTCGTCCTCCCAGCGACCCCCCAACCCCAGTCCCTCCCGCCCTGGGCAGTCCAGGATGCATCGAGCTCTCAGTGGGTGTGGGTATGGCAGGGGGAGCAGCAGGGGGGAACTGGAGCAGGAGGGGAGGGCGGGGGAAATGGCAGCGCAGTGGCATGGCTGGCTGTGGATGGGAACTGTCTGGGGAGTGAGGGGGTGGGGCAGCAGCGGGGGGCGGCAGAGTGCACGGCAGTGTGTGGAATAGAGTCAGGGCAGGGCCCATGTGGGGGTGTGGGTGCGGGACAGTGTGTGGTGGAGAGCGGTTGGCCGCCGTCTCTCTCGTGCTCCTGTGCCAGTGGCTACGTTGCTGTCACTGCTGCCGGCACTGCCAACACCACCACTTGCCAGCTGCCACCCCCGTCCCCACCCGGTATGCTCGGTCAGTGGCTTGGGTTGCTGCCCTGCTCCCCTTCCACCGTGTACCCAACCCTCTTTGCTGCTTTCTTTAGCTTCACTACCACTCCCTTCCATCTCTCTTTGCTTCTTCAGCTTTCCCCCCCTTTCCCCCTTCGTCCCCCCCCTTTCCTCCCCTCGCCCCCCTCCCTTCCCCCCCTCTTCCCCCCCTTTCCCCCCTTCATCCCTCCCCTTTCCCCACCTCGTCCCCCACCTTTCCCCCCTCGTCTCTCCTCCTTCCTCCCCTCCTCTCCCCCTTTCCCCTCTCGTTTCCCCCCCTGTTCCCCCCATCACCATGCCATGAGGGTTCTGTTACCCAAATCTTATCACTCTTTTCCGTGCTGCCACAGCTCCGCTAATCACCAATCCTTTTCCCTGAACCTCCCATCCTTGGCAGTGGCCTCTCTATCTACGGGCGCCATAGTGGGCATTGCGGTGGGCTGCTTTGCTGGCTTCACGCTGCTGGCAGCGGTGCTCGCATGGCTGCTGTGGCCCCGGGGACCAAGTGAGCCCCTCCACCCTTCTTCACCTCCTTTCTGTCTCCCCTAATGCTCTACCTTTTTTCTGGCCTCCTCTTCTGCTCAAACTCCCTGCCGTTTTTCCTGCGTTACAACTCTGCCTTTCCACTACCCTCGTGCTCTCTCCACTCATCTACACACTCACTCACTCATTCCTCTTGGTCACTCGCCCCGTGTCCTGCTGTGGCCACAGAGAAGTGGGAGGGGTTGGATGTGTGTGAGCAGTTCTCGCTGCAGCAGATGCTCAGGGCCACCAACAACTGGTCGGAAGACAATGTGCTGGGCAAGGGTGGCTTTGGCATTGTCTACAAAGGCCGCTCGCCACATGGCCAGCTGTGGGCCATCAAGCGCTCCACCATCATGACCAACGACTTTGAAACAGAGGTCAGGCATCCCTCTACTACCTCCTTGCTTTCCGCTCACGGAGCACAGAAAATGCTGACCAAAATGCTGACCAAAATGCTGACCAAAATGCTGACCAGAATGCTGACCAGAATGCTGACCTGCAGATTCTGTGCTCGCCTTTCCATTCCCATCTGCATCAGCCTGCATTGTGTTCCATGTCCATGTTGCAGGTGCGAGCCATAGCCTCTCTCCATCACGTGCATGTTTTCTAGTCGACTGAAAAAGTGTTCCACGTGCCCGTTGCAGGTGCGAGCCATGGCGTCACTGCACCACGTGCATCTCGTGCGCCTGCTGGGCTTTTGCCTGGACCAGAACGTGGAGACGGGCAGGCAGGAGCAGATCCTCGTGTACGAGTTCATCGGCAACAGGGATCTCCAGTACCATATTCATGCCACCAAGCGTGAGTTGCTCTGGCGTGTGTTGCTCTGGCACGATTGGCGAAATGGTTGCAGGCATTTGCGCTTCTCTGCACGCATGAGTTGCACTGGCACTACTGCTCAATTGTTGCAAGTCATATATAAATATATAAATATATAAATATATACATATGTATTTATGTATATATATGTATGTATATATATGGGTATTTTTAACAGAGCATGACACTGTCTCTTGTATAACTGCATGTTCTGCTCCGTATACGTGTTTCGTGACCCAGGTCCGCTCTCTCTACGCCAGAGGTTGCGCCTAGCGCAGGGAGCAGCAGAAGGCCTGGCGTACCTGCATGGGTTTGACACAACCATCGTTCACCGCGACATCAAGCCAGCAAACATCCTTGTGACAGCCGACATGCAAGCCAAGGTGGCTGACTTTGGGCTGCTCAAGCGCCTCACTCACGGCGATGCTGACGCCACGCGAGTGGCCGGCACTCCGGGCTATGTGGACCCGGACTACAACCGCACCAACGTCATCACGGCCAAGAGCGATGTGTTCAGGTGAGCATGCATGCTCATTCCATTGCACAAAGCCATGAACTTGTTCACCTCACTTGTTTTCTAATCCTTCTGCTTGTTGAATACTTGTACCTTGTACCTTGTTTTTTTTTTTTTTTTTTTCAAGATTATTTCTCTGTCTCCAATGCGTGCTTGCTTGCAGCTTTGGAATCGTGCTTCTTGAGTTGCTGAGTGGAAATTCACCCCAAGTTGATGCAAAAACACATATAAGCAAATGGGTACGATCGCCAAGCACCAGATCCAAGTTTATAGTTGGTGCAAATATGAATGTTGCATATCGGAGAATGTTTGTGCCCATCACATCTCAAATCTGTCTCCTACTCATTTGCTTTCATGGCCGTGCGTTTGTCCTGAATTCAGACTCATTCTGGGCATCACAGCCTTTCCTTGCTGTCATGCTGCCTTGCACCACCTTTCCTGCTTATCATGCTGTTTTTCACCGCCTCTCCCATGCATCGTTCTTTCCTTTTGTGGATGCCCTCCAGGCAATGAAGAGGGTGGAGGCGTATAATCTAGAGGAGCTGAGGGACAGCAAGATGCCAGTGATCACTGAGGAGGCGATAGTGGACTTTGCAGACCTGGCTCTGGACTGCATCAAGTCTCCTGGCACACGGCGACCCACCATGAAGGATGTGGCATACCGCCTCAATGCCCTCATTGAAAAGCATTGCCCCGACAAGGAGGATGAGTGGGAAAGTGTCGCGAGAGAAGAGAGTGCAAGCAACAAGGGTGTGTCTTCCAGGGATGTTACTGCTGTGTCGCTTGGAAATGGTGGGATGGAACCTGAGGGGTCTGATGGCTCACAGTCTGGTGTGAGCTCATTTATGCGCGTTAGCTCGATAGGTGATGGCCTCAGGAGTTGGCTGCAACTGAAGCCAACCAGAGGGCGCTGAATTTCCCCATTATGCCTTCGTGTGGCGTGGCCTATTTAGCATGGAACTATAGATGCAGGGCAGCAGGAGCACAGGGGTTGGGTTTTTGGATAGGATTTGAGCTGCTCTCCATACGACTAGCATCCTTATTTCACGTTTTCTACAGGGTATTTCACAATAAGACTCTCATTATCATAAATTTGTTTGTAATTGTGTAACAATTTCTAAAAATGTGTATTATGTAAGCGCACCTGACTGCAACGAGCAAGGCAACTGCGAATGCCTACTCCAGAGTAAATAATGAGGGTTGGTTGGAGGTCATTTGGCCTCCACCCACGTCTTCATTTGGAACATTACAGTTCCGCTTCGTTCTCGTCCAACCACTCGATAAGTTTCCATCAGGCCCTCAAAAACGCTGATTTGCCCTTGAAACGCCTTTTTTCAGGGTATTTTTTGGGCGCTAGGCTGATTGGAAACTGTTTTTTTTCTGGAAGGACTGATTTTTCAGGCATGTTTCTTGTACCAAACACTGAGATTTCAGGCACGTTTCTTGCACCAACACTGATTCAAATCAACACTATCGAACCGATTCCTGTTAGTAAAACTGCGTGGATTCATGGGATTGGCCGAAAAATCACAAAACTTTAGCGAAGTCGGCGTCAATCAAGGGAAGGAATGTTCACTGTACCTGGCTGTACCTAGCGTCGCACATGAATTTGACGTGCTGTCTCAAAAATTTGGCTGGCTATAAAGGGATTGGGCAACACCTTGTAATTACATGGGGCACCCACTCACGTGCCCTGCGCTGGCAACATTTTACAGCATCATGTTGGTGCAACCCTACGTTTTGCACTCGGCTTGTTGTCCGTATGCGTGCATGTGTGTGTGTATGGAATGGTATGAGGGCATGGGATAATATATATTTCATGCTTATAATTGTGTGTGAATGTTGAGTCATGATGTCGAGTGTGTGTGTCGAGTCAATAGCGAGTTATCGCTAGACGCGTGTTACGCGGTCGTTTGTGCCTCGCGCGCGGTTTTTATTTTTGTCGTGCGCGGTTTCTATTTTGTCATGTGTCGAACGTTCGGTGTGTCGCAGGTGTGTGCAGCAGACCCATCAAGAACTCAAGGATGAGTTTGTGATGAAGAGCCTGAGCCTTGGTGTCAAGCCTCAAGTGATTTCGAAGCTCGCCAAAACGGTACACCTCAAGATATTGAAGATAGTTACATTACTTTGTGTAGTGTAACATTTCACTTGGTGTAGGCCCTAGTGAAGGGTAGTTTCGAGACCCTTCGTGGTTGGGGATGTCGTAAAACAGTAGCTTGATAGGAAGGTAAAAAATAGGACGGCCTAGGCTTAGTAGCCTAGGCCAACTAGATCGAGTAGTTCGTGCCAAGGGTGTCGAGAGAATTGGGAATGAATGGGTTTGACTATAGCACAAGAGTACATATAGCAAACAAATGAAGAGGTGCACCACCTACAAAGTTAATAACTACACGACAGCTAGAACTACATGCAGGTACAATAAGAATATAATTTTGACATCCCCCCGTAACTGCATGCAGGAATAGCTAAGTGCAGAACACAACCTGCAAGGGTACACCACAGATAGAGAAAACAGCAACAGTAGGTATAGCAGGAAAGGGGCAGACACTCCTGCCACCCCTTTTCTCTCCCCCCACTCCAACTTCAGGAAGGGCGGCTGGTTGGTCTCACACCCGCCACCCTGGTGCCACTACCCCGGCTCCCCCCACACCCTCACACCCTCCCCCCAGCGGCAGCTGCAGCAGTGGGAACGAAAGGAGGAGGAGGGAAAGGGGAGCACACCACCCATCACCCCACACCCGCCACCCCCATACCCTCCCCCCACGGCTGCAGGGAAACGAAGGAGGAGGGGGTGGGCGGGGAGAAAGCCGCAGAGCGGCTACTGATGGTTGGCGCGGGTAGGTCAGGGGCAGCTTCAGGGAGTGTAGGTGCGGGGTGGGGTAATGGCGGCTGCACCGAGTGCAGGAGCGAGGGCGACTGCTCCAAGGGCAGGCGCCGGGTGATGCAGGGGCGGCTGCAGCAAGTGCAGGCGCGAGTGAGACGCCGCCGAGTGCGCCAGGGGCTGGTACACGGCGGCTCAGGTAGGTAGGTAGGTAGTGCACCGTCGCACGCCACGGGGCGCACGATGGGTAGGGCACCGTCGCGTGCCATGGGGCGTACGACGGGCAGGGCACCGTCGTGTGCCACGGGGCACGCGACGGGCAGTTCAGGTAGGTAGGTAGTGTAGTTCCCCGTCGCACGCCACGGGGCGCACGACGGGCAGGGTAGATGTCACTCGCCATCCTAGGGCGGGACATTAATGAGAAATCGCCACGCGACCTAGGCGCGCGACCGGTAAAGAACAGCAGCGGAAGCATACGGCGGGCCCAGAGGCCAGGACGAAACTCGCTCTGATAGCATGTCGTAAAACACTAGCTTGATAGGAAGGTAAAAAGTAGGACGGCCTAGGCTTAGTAGCCTAGGCCAACTAGATCGAGTAGTTCGTGCCAAGGGTGTCGAGAGAATTGGGAATGAATGGGTTTGACTATAGCACAAGAGTACATATAGCAAACAAATGGAGAGGTGCACCACCTACAAAGTTAATAACTACACTACAGCTAGAACTACATGCAGGTACAATAAGAATATAATTCTGACAGGGGACAGTGTGGCACTGTTCCACATCACTGTACCTCGGCTCTTGGGGTTTGTAGGAGCTGGGAGTCATTCCCAACTCGTAACTCTTCATATCTCTTCCTATTTTGTGTTCTAAGACTATATTGGCTGCCATAGTGCCGTTCGTTCAAACCAACACTGTGTCGTCAATACTTGATGAAATTGTGCGATCTAAATTGCCTATTCTAGACGACGTTCAGACGCTCCAGATCCAAGTTCAATCAGGTCATTTGAAGTTGTGACCAGAACGCTATGAACGTTTGAAGCCGCTGTGCAGAAATCCGGCTGTGCACTCTATCTTTCGTTTTAGGCACATTGGAGCCTATTGTGACTATAACAAGTGGCATCAGAGCGAGGTTGGAGCAGTTTCGACAATGGCTGGACCTGAGGAAAGGGGTGGAAGAGGTGCTGGTGGCAGAGGAGAAGCCCAAGCTCAAGGCCAACCCCGTGATTCAGCCATGGCGCCTGTGCAACCAAGTGTTGGCCCATCTAGGGATGAGCCTAGAGTGTTTGGCCTTGACAAGTTCAATGGTGACAACTTTGCTGAGTGGTCCTTCAGAATGGAGAACATATTTGACCACTATGACCTGCTGGAGGTAATGGAAGGAACGGAGAAGCGTCCCGAGAACGACCCGGAGAAGAGCCCGTGGGTGCGGAAGAGCGCACAAGGCTACCTCCTACTTGGGCAAGCGTTGGGGAGCAGCCAAATCCGTCACATCAAGCCTTTCCAGCGTGAACCAGAGAAGGGACCAAAGGCATGGGCTGCTCTCAAAGGTGTACACGCTCCTGCAACAGCGGCGGTAGCTGTGGTGTTGGAACGGCAAATGGCGACACTACGAATTGAAGAGGATGAAGCGGTTGAAGAAGGGGTGCAGAAATTCTTCGACTTGTTGACGCGGCTTGAGGGAGCTGATTTGAACTATAGTGAGCTCCAAAAGAAGACCAAGTTGCTGGCCCTACTCCGTGAGTCATGGTCCTCGCTCATCATCAACCTTAATCGCGACTTGCCCCGCCTCTCGCTTGAAGACGTGAAGCGAGCTATCCTTCAAGAGGATTTCCGCCGCCGTGAGTTGGCGAGTGCGGATGGCGCTGGGGCAGCAAGCATCGGCCGTGGATATGGTCGAGGAAGAGGTAGAGGACGAGGGGGAGGAAGGTTTGGTGGCAGCAACTTCAGCGGAGGCCGCGGGAGTGGCGGTTACGGCAGCGACGACATGAGCTACGGACGCGGTCGCGGCCGATTCGACGGCGAGTGTCACTATTGCCACAAGAGCGGACACATGTGGCGCGACTGCTACAAACTCCCTGATGGTTGGACCCCTGCTCAAGGCCAGGAGGGTAGAGGAGCAGGAGGAGGGAGAGGAAGAGGCCGTGGCGGTCGCGGTGGCGGAGCTGCAAACATGAAGAGCGGAGACAACGACAAGGACCCGAGCAACGATCGGTACCCGGGTCTATTCTACTTCGTGTCGACGCAAGTACCGACTGGTCAAGAGAAGGATGAAGGCTTTGAGGAGCCAGCAGCTGTGGAGAAGGTGACTCTACACCCTCTGGACTATTGGGTGATCGATAGTGGCGCTAACTATAGCATGACACCTCGCCCGGACTTGCTCACCGAACTCGAACCGTCACCGGTGAAGCATGTCACATCAGCTTTGGGGCAGCGAGCGGAGGTGAAAGGCATGGGCAAGGCCATGTTTAAGGGTGCTGATGGGAAGATGGTGGGCCTCAAGAATGTGCTTTGGGTGCCCAGCCTTGCTGCCAACCTGATTTCCGTGCGGCGGTTGGCAAAGGCCGGCATGGACACGAACTCAAAGGGAGCCAAGACCTACACCGCAAGGCTTGGCGATCGGATTCTTTGGGACCTTCATGAGGACAGAGATGTCTACAACGAGATGTGGCAGATCCCTGTGGTCCCAATGCCTAAGGAGAGGCAAGTGGCAGCAAGCGTCAGCACCAAAGGTGGAGCGGTTGGTAGCGGCGATTGCGCGGACGGTCGCGCTAAGGAGAAGGAGTCCAAGAAGTGCAATCTTGGAGGGACCAGCAAGCTTGGTGAACCTATGGAGAGAGGTGCAGCAACCAAGGAGCAGCAAAAGGGTGAGGAGAACCCCGAGGCAGCAGCGAAGGAGGACTACGGAGAGAGTATGTGGGGCGCTATTGCGAGCGCGGCATTCTCCAATCCAACTTCGGCTACGGGGGAGTGTGATTGGCTCACCTTGCATCGGCGCATGGGGCATGTGGCCCTGCCCATCTTGCATCAGCTAGTAAAGAATGAGATGGTTGCTGGCATACGTGTGAAGGGGGAGCCTGATGAGGTACTTGGCTG